ATAGTGGGATTGACCGTCACATTATAACGCCCCCACGGCTGAAAGGGCGAGCATGTTTGGTGTGACGGGGATCCGAACCCAGAAATTAAGGAGCAATGAAATAACGTTGTTTGTCGAATTACTAAAGGTTCCAAATGATTACGTAACTTGAACATTGACATTTTCTTATGTTGATAATTATCTATTTAATAATACATATGATTGTTGTTGTTTAGCACAAAGCTGCACCACAAAGAGCTATCTGTGCTCTGTCCACCTCGAGTATCAAAACCAAATTCTTGGCGTTATAAAATACAAATGGGCGTAGGACTCGGTGTGTTTTTAAGCAACATTTGTAGCAGCACTAGTGTTTAATTATTCAGTAAAACGTGTCAAAACATCATGAACATCTGAGTGAAATAGAAAAAGAAATTAAAATGGTTTTTGCAAAAGGTCACCGTAAGGTCAATATTTTTTACTGTAAAGATGGAAAGACAGTATCAGTTTAATGGCGGGGATGAAAGGATTGAATCAGGATGCTGGGTGGAACTTGGCTGAATGTAAGAGGATGGATAATGTGGTGCTTATTAAAGATGTGCTTATTTAAGGATGGATGACGTGGTGCTCATTAGATGTGTGCTTAAAAGAGGATGGATGACGTGTTGAAATAAGGAGTCGCCCTGGCTTATGCTAAAGTAAGGAGTTGTTCTGGCTTTTGCTGAAGTAAGGTGTAGCCCTGGCTTCAGTTGAAGTAAGGAGTCGCCCTGGCTTCTGCTGAAGTAAGGAGTCGCTCTGGCTTCTGTTGAAGTAAGGAGTTGTTCTACCTTCTGCTGAAGTAAGGAGTTGTTCTGACTTCTGCTGTAGTAAGGTGTCGCCCTGGCTTCAGTTGAAGTAAGGAGTCGCCCTGGCTTCTGCTGAAGTAAGGAGTTGCTCTGGCTTCTGCTGAAGCTAGGAGTCGTCAATTTCTGGGGTTCTCTAACACCGATATATCATCAATCTATTAACTCCATCTTATATTTTTTTCTATAGTATTTTTAAACGAATATTCCAATTCATTTTCGTTAAATAAATAAATCCAATAAGTCACTGATTCGATTTTGTTAAGAACAAATGTAGTACCATCGATTTTATCACACTATAGTGTTTTTTCATTTTTTCTAATTCGTTGCTAACCAATAGCAATCAACAGAAATCAAGAAAACACGCTCTATGTTTTTACGACTGATTCTGAATGTTTATTGTGGAAGGACGTGTTGTAAGAGCTGACTTTTTTTTTTCTAGCTCACCGATTATTTCAACCCCTCAGATAATGAAAAGTTCCAGCATCTGTTGGGTACAGCCGAGGCGTAAGTTCCGCATATAAATAACATATTCCAGATCACGCAACAACAAAAATTAAAAATAAATTGGATGATGGAAGGAATTCCTCTGACATTACTCAACTACCAATTACACTTGGCATCGTGCCAATCACCAAGGCTTTTGTGCCGAACTTTGAGCGATTCACCCATTACACGAGAACAAGGACCTTTTCAACCTAAACAGCCTATTGTGTTGACCGACTGTTCCCTGATGTCTAGTGTTTTGTTTATCAGACAGACTTGGGTGTTAAATCTGTCAGAGACAGACCAATCGAACATGGAATTTTTTTGTTGTTTAACTTTATATAACTCTGAAGTTTTTTTATTTTTATATTGGTTATGTTTTCAAAATACGATATAAGGATTATTTTGAAAGGTAATCTTTTTTTTTCTGTATTTTTTTCCCGAGTTACTAAAACTTGGATTTAATAAGACTGTTAGTGGTACGCTCAGTTCTTACCACTTGTCGTTGAAAAGAAATTTTGAAATAAACCTTTTTTTTTTGTATATCTAATTACTTTACAACAATAGAAACCGGATTTCGATAGCCGTGGTAGGCAGAGCTCATTGTGTAGCTTTGTGATTAAACTGCAAACAAACATCTAATTACTAAATCATATAGGTAACAGTATGAATAAGACATAAATTTTAGGAAGTTTGATAGGTCTTGCTGACTTTGTTTGTATTAAAAGTATTTTGGGTAAAAAAAAATATGATTTGAAAATATTATAGGAATCATATTTCATTCAGTATGTAATTTTTGTCCATGGGATTTTTTTTTATACATTTGAAGTTGAATTGTATCTGGTTGGGAATAAGAGTGGACGATGTCTCGGTCACTGTCTGTGCTGAGGGTCAAGAAGAATAAAAGATATTTCCCTTTGACTAAATTTTGCACTGACCCCGAACAAAAATCCCAACCAAACATGCTCGCCCTTTCAGCCGTGGGGGCGTT